TTTTGACGGTTGCGAGCGCCAGCCGGCGTTGACGCACGGAAGCAGAAATGAAAGAGCAGGAAACAACGGTGGAAGAGGCATGTGCTGTGCGACACACACGATTAGCGAGACGGAGAAAGCTTGAAAACAAGAAACCCTGCAATTGTACACGGAAGCGATGGAAGGGATGAAGTCGAAAGGCTGTGTGTGTGTGATCTCTCGCGTGATCTCCGAGGCGGCCTACATCACGTAGGAGCTCGGTACCACGCCCGTCTGGCCGCGGGCATTGCGCGCAAGCCACCAGTGCTTGTCCTGGTCGTCGAGGATCTCGATGGGCTCGCCCGCCGTCAGCACCAGCTCTGACTCGTGATTCGGCACAAAGTCGTAGCGCGCATGCGCCGGAATGCCCTCCACGGGAGAGTCTTCGTCGCTCGCCATCATCTCCATGGCGCCAGCTCCGGCACCGGCACCGGCACCAGCTGCGGCACCCGCTGCAGCGGCGCCGCCGACGGCCATGTCGTCGTGATCGAACAGTTCGCCCTCGTCGGTCATGTACTGTGTGTGGCCGGTTCTGCCGCCATCGCTCTGGTACTGCGAGATGCCGCCGGTCTCATCGGTGCCCAGGGCCTGTGACGAGTCTGGGCGGTCGTAGGCGCGACTGGACGAAGCTGCCGCAGCTGCGCCACCTGCACCGACCGCGGCCACGCCGGCGCCACCGCCGAGCATAGCATTCTCCGTGGCGGCGTTGAGTGTGGCGAGCAGGCTCGAGGGTCGTTTCTTCTCGCCCGTCGCAGCAAGCGAGTCCTCGCTGGCCGAGATGGGCACGTCGACGCTACGATCCGGACGCCTTCGGCCTAGAGCCCAGAGGAGACCGATCAAAACCAGCAGGAAGACAATGCCCAGACCGATGGCGATCGAAATGAGGATCACAAGTCCCACGGCGAGTCGGTGCAGGTTTGGGAATTTGAGCACCTCGGTAGAGCGGCTAAAGGCGCGCACGATGCCCGACGAGCCGTCCAGGTTGGTGGCGAGCAGGAACGGCGTAAAAGTTTGACCATCGAAAAACACGCTTGACACGTTGCCAAAATCCTGCGTGCTGAGCGCCCCGCTGATGACCAGCAGACGGTTGTTCTCGAGCACCGAGTTGCCCGGGTGCGCCCGGTTGATTGGCACAAAGGTCAGCTGCGAGATGCCGGTGTCCGCTTGGAACTGGCCGTTGCCCATGGTCTCGTACTGCGTGCCGTCCCACTTGACAAAGTACGGGGCGGAGCCGTCGGCGGTGCGTCCCGCGACAAAGATAGCGTTGGCGTTGAGGTCATTGACGCTCACCGCTGTGGCAGGACCGGGGATCTGGCCTGCACCCGTGCCGACGCTGCCGAAGCTGGACCACATCTGGGTGGTAAAGTCGTAGCTGGCCAGAGACGCCTCGACGCCATTCACCGTCATCGATCCGGCGAGAATGAGCTGATTCGCCTTGCTGGCTGCAAAGTCGATAGCCGAGATTTCGCCGCTAAGTCCGGCACCCAGCGGACTCCATCGAAGTGTATTGGTGTCCCAGAGGCAGACGTTCAGGCATGGTAGAGAGCCGGCCGAGGTGAAGGAGCCCGACACGATGACAAAGCTCGAGTCCGGACGGTGGTTGACGGCCGTCACCGAGAGCACCTGCCCAGATGTCGTGGCTAGCGGTGCGCCGGTGCTGACCCAGCTTGCCTTTTTGAGGTCGTAGGTGTCAAGTCCGCCATCACCGCCGACGTACAGCAGGCCCGAGTCCACCAGCAGCGAGCGCACCACTGTGACCGTGTCGGAGCGCACGCCCGTCCCGCTGGCGGCTGGGGGCTCTGGGAAAGCCGAAAGAATGTCAGTTGTGTCGTCGTAGAAGGCAAGATTGCGAATACCGGCGGTGGTGGTGA